GTTTGGCATGGGAGGTCAATGTTACTATTAGTGTATATTAGTGTATGCCCTAGAAACCATTCGTGTTGTCGGTTTCAGAGCATTTTGTCTTGTATCTATATATATCTAAATAATAAGAAAGAGTTCTTTAATTCTTATATGTAAATTGCTTCCTTTATTCAGTCATGCATTAAAAATAAGTACGTATATGAATTGTCCAGATGATTCATTTAATAGGTAAATAATTATCGAAAAGGGTTCCCTACGGAAGCAATATAAATTTGGCAACTATATTGCACAGTAGGCATACCGGATGCTTCCAAAGATATCATGAGTTGATATAAGTACGGATGACAGTGATAGTCGTCACTGGGGCATTGGTATGGATTAACGGTTGGTGAACTGTTTTTCGAATGTGACCGAATAACGACAAATCACTTGGAAAAGCATGTAGTCAATGATTTCGTTTGGTTATATCATGCACGATGTAGTCCTTTGACCTGAGACATTGTATCGGATCCGATATGGATGCATATGATTCAGGTGTATAAGACGAGACTACCATGTTTCGTACAATAAAGCCTTTGGTCATGCGTTGTTCATGCGGAAACGAACAATGGCCAAGAGGGGATCCATTGACTCGAAAATATAGGATCGGGAGTACTGCTGACTCCATCAGATTCGAGTTCCTAGACGAACATCGATAAATGTCAAAAATTGAATCTCTGCCAGAGTCTATTATTAGTCATACAAGCAGTTGTGTGACGAGTTCCGACATATTGATCACGATTCGGTAGAAGTCGAGTTTAGGATTTTGACGTTCCATGAATCCATACTCGATTAGGATATCTCAATGGAGGAACTTTACCTGCATGGTACGTATGATCTGAATGGGTTCGATGAAGTATTTCTTCATCGTGGTTTAGGGACTATGGCACATTGCTAGATGTTTACCATAGTCGTTGGGCCTCCGGAGGGTTTCCGGATTCATCCAGAACCGGCTCACGGCTAATCCACGGTGGACCTACATGGTCCAACCAATAGCCTTAGAAGTTAGAGAATGAGGAAGAGAGAAATGATTATCCGAAGAGGGCTAGCACCTTCCGAGGGTAATAACGGGATTTCTATAGTAATAGTTACTAGAAAACAATTTGTGATATTTTAAGGTTAAAATGGTCAAGCAATAATTAATTATATTTAATTATATCTTAAAGGTTAAGATTAATGAGATGAACAAAATAACCTTTTAATAGTTAAGGTAAAAAGGGTAAATTTATGGGTTGTTAATGTAACTAGTTTAGTTTACATGGGCCCTTGAATAATATTGATTATTCAAGGGTAGCATATTAATTCGTGGGGTCCCTTTATAAAATAAGATTTTATTGGGCTTGGAAGTGAATAAATATTGCAAAATAGCCCAAGTATATAAGTGCAAGGTTGCATTTTGTTCATTATTCACTTGTTCACTCAAACACAAACTAAAACTCTCTCTCCCTAGCCAAGGCCACTCTCTAATCCTCTCAAGGTGGTGTTAAAGTGTGGAGGTTTCATCCTTTTGAAGCTATCTTCATCAATCACAAAGCAAAGGAGTAGTATATATCTCATATCCAAGCTTTGCTGTAAACCGTTTTTTTAATCCATGCTTTCATGCTTTCATTCTCCATCTCCACCACTCTTCATGCATGCTGAATCTTTCAGTTACTGCTAGACAGCAGCATTTTGCCAAGTCTGGAGCTGGTGAAGCTCCATCAGGTCGTTAAATTCTACAGATGATCCTGCGGAGCGGGTTTCCATCAAACGCCCGCATGTCGGGCATCCATCTCTAGCGGGAGTGGAGTGGCTAACACCTCGGGAGAAAGGGGGATGCAGATGCAACCTGTCCCTGCTTATTTTGCTGGGCCCTTAGCCTATCTAGAGCTCGCTGCAGCTCTCATTTGCGACAACGGAGCCCTTGGGGGTTGTTCACCCACGCGAGTTCGATTCTCGCGATTACGATTGAGGAATGTCCAGATCGGGCACTTCTTCGCCTTGGCTGGCGGTTCCAGCCACTCTCGACACACGCTGACTAAGGCGTGCGTGGCGATGAGGTGCGGGGTATTCTCATGACCTTCGCGATAGTAAAACCGCCCCGCGAATATGGGACCCCTCGCACTGTGGCGACCAAGATTGGCTTGCTGACGGTGATAAGATTGACCCGTCCAACACTTTATGGGTACGTACCTGCGACTGGCATACGACATTTCAGGCTGTTCTTTTCACCGGTCTCAGAGACTGGTATTCTGCTTGGGACGCGGTCGATGTCTGGTGGCCCTTTGGAGCCCATGGCTTGCTTTTTGCCACCTGCTTACCCTTTCGCCTTCGCGCTACAGTGCGCGCGCCCAGGCTATTTCCTTTGCTGCGCTTTCGCGCGACCTGCAGGAGTTTTTGGCGGTTGTACCACCGCAGCTGACTTGGATGGCGCGCCTTGGTCCAAACGTCCAACCTTTGGTTGACCGTCTGGAGAGTATTGTCAAACCTCTCCAGGTACTTCTTATACGGGTCAAGCTGTGAGCTTGACGGAATATCTCCTACAGCATTCTACGCTGAAGGTTTTTTGGAAGAGGTTATCCCTGAACTTGGGGGCACCCTGAGTGCCCTGGTTGTTTGCTCATGTTCTGGTTGGCGGGCCTTTGTTGTTGTAGGACCAGTATGTTGGAGACTCTCCTGATGAAGGATGAACACTAATCAGGCCCTCCTTCTAGCGCCAAACTGTTGATGCGAGATTCTGCACCAACAAAACGCACGTGCGAAAGTTGTAGGGACCCTCGAAATCACCTGTGAAAGTAATGGATAGAGATAGTAAATGCAATGACAATTTTTAAGTGGTTCGGATGCTAAGGTAGCAAGTCTTACGTCCACTGATGCTTATATTGATAATAGGGGTCAGGTCGCTATTAGCTAACTGACTTTATAAATGATACAGATATCAATTGCTAAGAAAAGAGAGAATAATTAATCAAGTGAAAAATGTGTGAATCCCTTTAATGAAAAATGAATTCCCAATTTTAGTCAGATTTCTTGAGGCAATGATCACTAAATCTGCAAGTTGGTGGGATTATGTGTGCAAATCCTTCTTTATGTCATTGCCCGCCTTCCGAGTGATTTGCACGATTTAGAGCAGTGATTGGACACGTGGGAGCACCACAGCCTTCTGACTAGTCTGACGCTTGCCCACTATCCTGACAGACGCAGATGGTTTGTTCCAATGATCTGACTTTTGTGGGCTAAAAGGTCCTGACGTCGACCCTTATATTTTTGGCATAACAGGTATGTTAGTGTATATTAGTGTATGCCCTGAAAACCATTCGTGTTGTCGGTTTCAGAGCATTTTGTCTTGTATCTATATCATAAATAATGGAGAAAAATTCTTCAATTCATATATATAATTGCTTCCTTTATTCAGTCATGCATTTAAAATAAAATATGTATATGAATTGTCCAGATGATTCATTTAATCGGTAATGAATTATCGAAAAGGGTCCCTACGGAAGCAATAATTTGGGCACTAATTGCACAATAGGCATATCGGATGCTTTCGAAAGATATCATGAGTTGATATAAGTACGGATGACGATGATAGTCATGTCACTAGGGCATTGGTATGGATTAACGGTTGGTGACTGTTTTTCGAACGTGACCAAATAACGACAAATCACTTGGAAAAGCATGTAGTCAATGATTTTCGTTGTTTTATCATGCACGATGTAGTCCTTTGACCTAGACATTGTAGTCGGATCCGATATGGGTCGTATGGTTCATACGTTGTATAAGTACGAGACTAATCATTGTTCGTATAATAAAGCCTATTTGGTCATGCATTGTTCATATGCAGAAACGAACGATGGTCAAGAGGGGATCCAGGACTCGGAAATATAGGATCGGGAGTACCGCTGACTCCATCCGGTTCGAGTTCCTAGATGAACATCGATAAATGTCGGAAAACGAATCTCTGGCCAAGTCTATTATAGCTCACAAAACAGTTTGTGATGACGGTTCCGACATATTGATCGACGATTCAGTAGAAGATCGAGTTTAGGATTTTGACGTTCCATGAATCCATGCTCGATCAGGGTATCTCAATGGAGGGACTTTACCTGCATGGTACGTATGATCTGAAATGGGTTCGATGAAGTATTTCTTCATCGTGGTTTAGGGACTATGGCCACTTGCATATGTTTACCATAGTCGTTGGGCCTCCAGACAGGTTTCCGATTCATCCAGAACCGGCTCACGGCTAATCCACGGTGGACCTACATGGTCACACCAATAGCCTTGAGAAGTTAGAGAATGATGAGAGAGAGAAATGATTATCCGAAGAGGCTAGCACCTTTCGAGGGTAATAAGGGGTTTTCATAGTAATAGTTACATAGAAACTATTTGTGACATTTGAGGCTTAAAATGGTCAAGCAATAATTAATTTATTTAATTATTATATCTTAAAGTGTTAAGATTAAATCTTAAAGTGTTAAGATTAATGAGATGAACAAGAATAACCTTTAATAGTTAAAGGGTAAAAGGGTAACTTTATGGGTTGTCAAAACTAGTTTAGTTTACATGGGCCCTGAATAATAGTGATTTCAAAGGTAGCATAATAAATTCGTGGGTCCTTTAAAAATAAGATTTTATTGGGCTTTGAAGTGAAAATAAATAATTACAAAATTGCCCAAGTATATAAAATGCAAAAAGTTACATTTTTGTTCATAACACACATTGTTCGCTCAAAGCAAAACCAAAACTCTCTCACAAGCCCCGACCACTCTCTAAACCTCTCAAGGTGGTGTTAAAGTGTGGAGGTCTCATTACTTTGAGGCTAATCTTCATCAATCCAAAGCAAAGGAGTAGGTATAATCTCTTTTCCAAGCTTTGTTTGAAAACTGGTTTTAGAATCCATGCTTTCATTCTCCATCTCCACTACTCTTCATGCATGCTGATTCTTTCAAGGTATTAATGAGGAGCAAACCATATTATGCATAGTGTCATACCTCTGAGACCATATCATTTGCTACATTTCCTAATAAGTCCCAAACATGAGGGCTGTGTTTGTCGTCACCCATGACGGTGAGGACCATACGACCACCAGATTTTAACTCCTCTGATCGTAATTTAAGAAACAACGTAAAATCTTTCTCAAACTGATCCAAGCATGCTTTCCTGACATTAGAAGGACTCGTCTTCCCTATATAAAAGTTTTGTTTATTCATTGGAATTCCGGATTCACTCACTAATCCTTCGGGTAACTGTGCATTCAAGGGATGATGCGGTTTTTGTAATGGAAGATATATTTACAAGTTAAGAAAAATAATTAATTAGCTACTGATGATCATGACGTACTTCTGAAAGCCAGTGGACAGCGTAAGAGGAAAATATAAAGTGAAGGGAATGGGGTGGAAATAGCATTTCATAAAACGATCGAGGAACTGCAGCTATCAAACAATTATGTTGCCCAAACTCATCACCTTTCTCTTTCTCAAGTCTTTCATAAAAACTTGGCAATGACTTGAAAGCGCTGTTGAAATCATTTCCGGGAAGATCATTCAAGAATACCTGCAGCATGGGTGGTTTATGATTGAATCCACGGCACGTTAGATCAAGAGCCTCTATAACTTCCCATGTGGGCAAATATGTGTTGGGCCCGGACGAGCATCCCAGATCAGCAAAACGGAAACATTCTGAGAATATGTTGCTGCTACACATCTCATAAATGCTTTCTTGTATTAAAGGTTTTGCTTTCAAAATCACGTCATTCTGCAAGAGAAATATAAATTGATTAATATACAAAAGAGAGAAAAGAGCTTTAATTCTATGTGTTTTCCATGTGATGAGAACCTGAGTAGATGAGTTGTTTGCATAACTGAAGTCTTCCTCCCCTCCATTCATGTGGAGAACTTGCTCTAACCCCATTGCTAGCTACCTGTTTGCTCTACACACGTTTTTATATAGATACAATAACACGTACAACCAGACCACTACTATTATATTTACGTACACTTGAAATTACATAAATAGTACACTTGTAATATTTATATATTACAAGTGTAGTTCTTATTTTTATATCAATAACTATTGATGTTATAGTATTTGATTAATTGTTTTTGAAAGAAGGGCGGGCAGGTTCTGAAAATTTATTTAATATATTTGTGACAGATCTCATTATGTAATTAACGTTGACGATTGACGAAGGAGGATGTAGATTATTTCACCTAACTAAACATCTTGGATGAAGGATTTTAATCCATTCACTCTTTCTAACCGGGAAATATAAATGAGATTTGATCGCTTCTTAGAGTTGGTGATAATGATATACAAATATGGTTGCATGCCTAAACTGCTACTTGAAAAAGACTACTATTTAAAAAAAGACTACCTAATCATCTACTTAATTAAATCCTTAATCTTTTCGCAGAAACATCTAACTTACTAATTACTAATTACACGGCTTGACCATTATATTTTAGCAGTATAATTGGTATTGTTGTGTGTGATTTTTCCATCAAACTCAGGGAGTTGCGAGATAATAGCTCGACCGAGAATCAGTCCAACTCTACTGATTATCCGACCTAGCATAAACTCCTCGAGATATAGCTCGACCCAGCATAAGCTATTTGCGAACAATCCAAATGATCATTCAACCAATTCCCAAATAACTTCAAATCCCAAATATTTTGGGAATGACTAGATTGACAGCAATCTTTGTGCAATCACAGCGCTCAATCGTAAGAATATTGGAGTTACATTTCAATTTAATTGTAATCTCTTTAATTTTGCTCTTTCTTTTGTACAAATTTTGTATATAAACCCCCTCAAATGATGAAAAATGGGTTAGAAAATTTTCATGGAACTTATATTGTAAGCTCACACAGCGAATACAAAGAACAGTGTACGTAGGCTTAAGAGTTCATCTCGCCGAACCACTTTAAAATCCTTTTTTGCCATTTACTTTATTGCATTCATTATTCATCCATTGTTGGTTATCCACAATCACGCACACACTAGTTTCGATCCCGCCAAGGTCAATCAGATCACTCTAGTTGGTGCAAGTTTCTGTATCAACATTTTGGCGTTAGAAGGAGGGTCTCCGCAACATCTCAGAAATTTCAACAGACAACCTCAGCGATCTAACCACTTCAGGCCCACGATGGTGCGTACAAGATCAAAAACCACCACCGAAAACCACGACGATGTTGAAACCACCCATCAAGAGGTGCAACAGGACGTCGTTGGGTGTTGACCACCATGCCATCTCAACATGCCGCGAATAACCAGAGGACGGGAACGTCAAACCCCGAGAACGGCCAGCTGGTGAAAATGATCAGAACTATGGTTGCACATGCGGTGCAACAAAACGTGGCTAAAGCAATTAACACTCTAATTGGTGCTATTATTGTTACAGGAGCATAAGTGTCAAAATAATCTATATCTTTCTTTTGTGTATAACCTTTGGCAACCAATCTTGCCTTATATTTATCAATTGATCCATCAGTCTTTAATTTCTTTTTAAATATTCATTTGCACCCTATTGGTTTAGTTCCTGGAGCCAAATTAACTACTTCCCATGTATGATTACTCATAATGGACTCAATTTCATTATTTACTACCTCTTTCCAAAGGGATGCATCACGAGAAGTCATTGCTTCTTCATAAGTCTAAGGATCATTCTCTATAAGAAAGACATAGTAATCATCACCAAAACTTTTGGCTTTTCGTACTTTCTTACTTCTCCTTATTTCTAACTCTGAACTTTCAGAAGAATTTCGAAGAGTTTCATTTTGAGGTAGAGCCTTTTCACAATTGATTTTCTTAGGAAAAATATTCTCAAAGAAATCTGCACTTTTAGATTCAATGATTGTGTTTGCATCATACAAACCAACCTCTTGCTTTATTACCATGAATCTATAAGCAACACTACTCTGAGCATAACCTATAAACATACAATCAACAGTCCTGGGCCCTAAGCTTTTCCTTTTAGGTTTAGGAATTAGGACTTTAGTAAGACACCCCCACACTTTAAAACATTTTAGGTTAGGTACATGACCTTTCCAGAGTTCATATGGTGTTTTGCCTGTTTTCTTAAAAGGAATTTTGTTTTGTATGTAACAAGCTGAAAGCATTGCTTCCCCCAACAAATTAAAAGGTGCTCCAGAACTAATCAACATAGCATTCACCATTTCTTTTAAAGTTTTGTTTTTCCTCTTAGTAACTCCATTAGACTGTGGAGAATAAAGAGGTGTAGTCTCATGTATAATACCATGATCTCTACAAAAATAATCAAAGTCATTTGACTCATATTCACCTGCTTTATCTATTCTTAACCTTTTAATTTTCTTATTGAGTTGATTTTCAACTTCATTTTTATATGTTAAGAACATTTTAATTGCTTCATCTTTACTTCTCAATAAGTATACTCTAGTTTATCTAGAGTGATCATCAATAAAAGTTATATAAAACTTTTTTCCTCCTCTGGTCATAGTTTATTTCAAATCTCCAAGATCACTGTGAATTAAACCGAGAAGCTCATTTGCTCGTTCTAGAACTAGTTTACAAGTCTTTTTAGTGGATTTAGATTCGACACACACATCATAATTATCAATATTTGAAATATTAACATTTGATAATAAACCAAGTTCTTTCATCTTTTTCAGATAACCATAATTCACATGACCTAATCTACCATGCCATAAATCTATTGAATCAATAACATAAGCAAAAGAAGATGCATTTTCATTCATAATAACATTAAGTACATTGAGTTTAAATAACTCTCTAGAACAATACCCCTTCCCAACAAAAGCTCAATTCTTGGACATTACAATTTTGTCACCCTCAAAGGAGACTTTCACTCCAGCCTTTCCTAATACATAAACAGATGCAAGATTATATCGAATGTTTGGAACATATAAAACATTACTCAGTGAGAGGGTTTTCCCAAAAGTAAGTTTGAGAAGAATTTTCCCCTTACCCAAAACAAGAATAGAGCAAGAATCAGCAAGGTAAACACATTCTTCTCCATCTCTTACTAGTATGTATTCATAGAAAGAATTTCTATCTTCACAAATATGCTTTGTGGCCCCATAATTAATTATTGATTCTTTCTTTTCAGCAATCATGTTCAATTGTGAGACAACCACAGCGGCAATAACATTATCTCCCTTAGCCAAATTGGCTTTAGGAGGATTTTTGTTGTCTCCAATTTTTCTGTATCTACATTGGCTAGCAAAATGTCCGGTTTTCCCACACACAAAATAGTGTCCTTTGGGGTTGTTGTTAAACAATTTCTTGTTATTGTTCTTAAAACTCTGCGGTTTCTTGTTCTTAGGTTGAGGAGGATCACCTAGCTTTCAACAACATTAGCCTTGGATGTCAATTCCTTGGCCTTATCAGCTTTATCTCTATGCCTATTCGTCTCCTCAATCCTAATATGTACTATCACATCTTCTAAGCTCATTTGCTTCTGCTTATGTTTCATACTATTCTTATAAGCTCTCCATGAATCTGGAAGTTTCTCAATTAAACAACCAGCCACAAAAGTTTTAGGAAGAATTATTTCTTCATTTTTCAAGTCATTTATCAATAAATGATAGTTATGGACTTGCATGGATACCTCTTTTTCTTCTACCATTTTAAAATCTAGGAAGTTTCCTATGGTGTATTTTTGTGATCCAGTATCTTCAACAACATATTTCTTTTTCAGGATTGTCCATATCTCATGTGTAGTTTTATAAGCGCAATAAACATCATAAAGCTCATTCGATAATGTACTAAGGATAGTATGACGACATACCTTATTTCCTTTCTTCCATGTGTCAAGTTTTTTTATCAAAATTGTCTACTCTAGGTTTTGGTTCTTCTGATGTGAGGTACTCTACAAAACCAAGCACGTCCAAGGAGTCGAACACTTTTTCTTACCACCTCTTGAAATAAGCTCCTACAAAGGGCTGAATTTGGAGATGTCAGGAAGAGACTTGACGATGAGAATTGCAGCGTCCATTTCGACATATTTCACTTACACTTATGATCTTAAGATTGTTGAATTTTAATAATAATTAGCAGCAAAACAACAGGATAAATAGTAGAAAATCCAGCAGAGAGATAATAGCAAAACAGCAATGATACAGCAGTGAAACAATAATGAACACAATAGCAAAACAGCAACGAACATAGCAATATCAAGGCATGCAAAAGCACTGTCCTTAAGATTAAATTTCCACCCCATTGGAAGGATCTTCTCAATGCAAATGGCTCAGACGCGGACCGACCTTCAAGGTACAATGACGAGCTTCTATTTAAAGTGCACTCTTTAACAGAAGCTTAGAACAGTATAAGATAAAATAGAAGTGGTGAAGGAGAGCTAGAAAAAATAAAAATGTAGAGGCAAAATTTCTCTCAAGTAGGAAAATTGTCACTGCATAAAAGAAAATAAAACATCCCCTTTTATACTTGCCTCTTATATGTAACAACCATTTTTTTAATTATTAAGATTAAAACAGTCTAGCTTTTATAACAACCATTTTTAATTTAAAAAAAACATGAAGCTGTCCAACCATGATTTGAATTGTAAAGTACCGAAGCAATTGTAATTGCATTCAAGTCATAATAGTCCAAAATTTTAATTACATTCAAATCATAACAGTCCAAAAATTTAATTAAAAAATTGGTATTTTAAAATGTCATAACAGCCAGCTTTTATAACAGATAACTTGCTCTAACCCCATTGCTAGCTACCTGTTTGCTCTACACACGTTTTTATATAGATACAATAACACGTACAACCAGACCACTACTATTATATTTACTTCCACTTGATATTAAATAAATATCAACTTGAGTATATATATATATATATATATATATATTACAAGTGTAGTTTTTATTTTTATATCAATAACTATCGATGTTATAGTATG